AAAAAAATTCTTTTCGCTTACTGTTTCGTTGCTGTAGAATGCCAATGCGCTTATTTTGCATGTAAATTAACTCGATATGTTTTATGAATTTTGAAAGAATTGCAGTTTTATAACTATGAAATATTTAATTAATTTTGAAATATGTTTTAAAGTCTAAAATAATTTTAGAGTTTCCCTAAAACTCCACTGCGTGACAATACCTAGCATATGACTTGAATTAAGAATAGTAATACTGACACACTTCTTTACCTTAGCTAAATAGGACGGCAGTTAGCGTCTTGTGTATCAAACTGTAGGTTCTACGCTGACTGACTATTTACCATACTAATTGGTAGTGTATAATAAGCAACTGTTGAGATGTAATATTGGCGTCTGCGTCTATTGTTATAACTGGTCTCTAGTGGCCCTCCCACTTCGATTCCATAAGATTCCACCCGAATACGCCTCTACTCTAAAAGCGCGCGTATTTTTAAATAGGTTATCACTTTAATTCCGCGCTGTTGTTGGCTACTAGATTCCACGTGGTTACGTATTGCTTAATAATTTCTTGTACAAATAAAAGGAAATATACGACATTATTTACTAAGAAGAAATGTGGAGTGAAATACTAATAACTTGTTGAGTACACTTAAGTATTTAAAAATGTTCTTAACAAGCGCACCTACCTAACCTGGTATAATAATGACTTGAAAAGCCTGTTAGATTGGAAAAGTACCTACATAAAATTTAGAAAAAAATATAATGTTTTGGATGGTTAGACTCAGTTCAAACGGACTAGAGCATTGTATATATGTTTCTAGGTCGTGCTGCAGGGGGCACTTAAATATGATTAAATGTTCTCTTAAGAACAATATTAAAATTTTCTGGAGCTATGTGAATTCCCAGGAATAAATTATTGATATTCCATGTTAGATGATCCTGAGTCTTTTCTACAAGATGTTTACAATCTTTGCTGTGTTCCTCAAATCAATTTTAGAAATGCTGACATTGCTACACTTCTTTTGAAAGATGATATTTCTTTTGCGAAGGTATGCGGCACAATTTATCGTACCTACCAAGTCAATTATCGTACTTCTATCAAGTCCAAGCCTCTATTGAAGTTAAGTTGGGGAAGTCTCGATTTATAGATACATTTTGTCTACGTTTGCTCTAGTGATGGCTGTTTACCTTATTCATTATTTTCTTTAAATTAATTTATGAGAAATTAATAAATCGCGTTAAATTCGAATTACTCGTTTATTATAAATATCTTAATGAAAAATATGTCGTGTTAAATTCGAGATAGCTTTATTTAAGCTACATACCTTTACTTTTTACTAGAGACCATTTGATATTAGCGCCTTTGCAAATGCTACATTTCCTGTTTTTTTTTATGTAGGAATCGTATTTCATACGTAGTAATTTTCATTTTTTTTAATTGCATTTTCATCAACATGTATAGTGGGCGCGGCGGAAAAGAAAAGGTTACAAGTCTTCTAAATGTGGTGTTATAGGCGGATGATGATAATAACGTGGGTAGAAAAGGTTAGAAATGAAGAGGTATCAGAAATAATAGGAGAACAGTGGACTCCATGGAAGTCAATAAAAAATAGGCGGGATAGGTTGGTAGGACACCTTCTCAGGCATGAAGGTCTAGTCAGAGACATATTAGAGGCAGAAACAGGAGTTAGGAGGGGTAGAGGTAGACCTAGATTAGATTACT